AATATTTTTTCTGAAAATGTCCCGAATGGGATAAGTCAGGGGTAAGATCCTTGCCAAGTTTCAGGAATAGGGCCTGAAAACTAATGAAGTATTTTTAATCATATTTTAGTCTATAATGCATTTATTTATACTAAAATATTCTGTTTGAAGACTATATTCTACACTTAGAAGGAATTTGGTAAATCAGAATGATTTCATTTTCTGAAAATTTAGGTCCAGAAATATTACAACTCAAAAGAAAAAAAAAGGTTAGAGCGAGAATGAAGTATACCGTAACCAATAAAAAATGTTTTTCTTCCTAAAAATATTAAAGTTTTTCCACCTAAAAAATTCTAAATGAATTTTTCCGACTTTTCAAAATCAAAGTGGAGATTTTTCTCCCTAAAGGAGTTAAAGTGAAACTTTTTCGACCTAAAAAAATCTAAATGAATTTTTTTCTTCCTAAAAAAGTTAAAGTGAAACTTTTCCGACCTAAAAAAATTTAAATGAATTTTTTTCGACTTTTCAAAATCAAAGTGTAAATTTTTCCCCTTACATTTTGAATTTAACATGGGTTTTCCCATAGACAAAATAAAAGTGGAGATTTTTATCCTTAAAAAAATTAAAGTGAAACTCTTTCGACCTAAAAAAATCTCATTTTAAAATCAAAGTGTAACTTTTTCCTCACACATTTTGAATTTAACATGGGTTTTCCCATAGACGAAATAAAAGTGAAGATTTTTCCTCCTAAAAAAATTAAAGTGAAAATGTTTCCACCTAAAAAAAATTTAAATGAATTTTTTCAGACTTTTTAAAATTAAAGTGTAACTTTTTCTCCCTTTACATTTTAAAATTAACATGGGTTTGACACATGACCACAGACGAAATAATAGTGGTGATGTTTCGTCTGAACAAATTAAAGTGAAATTTTTCCAACTCAGAAAAGCATTCATTTGAGCCCTAACGAAAACTGCAGTGAGCATTTTTCACCTTAAAAAAACAAATATATTCAGATATTATCATCAAGGTTTTCTATTCAGATATATTTCTCTGCTTTTCGTGCCATTACATTTTAAATGAAATTTTATTCATTGCCGGATAGTTAAATGTTTGTTATTTTTTTTTTCGCACCCGAATGCTTTTCATGTCTCACATATGCTCATTACAACCAAGTTAGAAATTAAGTGAATACTTCCTGAAATACTGTACATTTCATTCCGGAAAGTATCTTATTTTGAATTCTCTAATGTTTATTTTCCTGCATTCCAAGTAAATTTTGTGCATAAAGTTTTCAGTTTCGATGGAAGTTATTTACGGATGACTATGGTGTTATCGTGTTTCCATAAACCTTTTGAAAACTTTGAGTATTACAATTTTTAACGTTACGGCCACTGCAAATCATTGAATTATCAAATATTTTCTTATTTATCTTTCATTGCCTTGTAAGGATTTTGGCATAAATTTTTATTAAATAGTTATATTGTTTGATTTAATAACGTTTTGCACGTTTGGAAGATTTAACTTCAATAACACTACCACGCTCAATCAGAAAATTAAGAAATGAAATGTAATTTTTCATCTTAGTATACTGTGGGAATAGAGAATGTTAACCCACATCATGCAGAATATTTTCTCGAAGATACCAAGAATCACTGACTTGCACTGTCATCGATTTTTCTCATGAAGTCTATTTCTTTCTTAAAAGAAGTTTATATACTAATTTCATTAGAAACATGTCTAAGAAAATATCTGTCAATCATGAGAAACATCAGCACCTTGACTAGGAAACTAAGAACCATTGTTTTGTAAATATGTTTCTCTTTGACTGAAAAGTTTCTTCTTTATCATATTCTAAATGAACAACTAACCGTATATAAGTAATATATTGAACTGATGAACCAGTGTTATATTTTAACTTATTAAGTGACTGTGAGAAGAAAGTCGTGTTTTTCCCTAAATGCTCATTTTCAAGTAGAATTTTACTAACGCACACATGTGTTTATTACCCAGTTTTTGATAAAATCTCAAAGGCTGAAATGAGTGTTTCATTACCAAATTTGTACTTTCCGACTTCATTTTACTGAAACGGAAACATTCCTAAGTTATTGCTAAGAAACATTTGTACATGATATGCTTTTTGATTAATTTTCATACCACCTGATTATCTTTGAAAATTTGTTTCCTAGCCCAGTGCTAATATATTGCTAATTTTCGCTTTCTCAGTGTCCTTCGTATGTGACATAAACTCAGTTTACAACCTTTTCTTACTCAACACCTTGCATTACATTGCTGAACAGGGACCATGCTTTCATTTTTATTACATATCATGCAAATATTATAAAAAAGGCACATTTTTTCCATCTGTTAGCACAATTTGAATAAATATTTTACTATTACAGAGACTTCTTTAGTAAATTCTCAACGTTAAACTGAATGTTTCATTACTAATTTTGAAGATTCCGGATATATCCTACTTAAACGTTCATAACTGGTTAGCAACATAGTTTAGACATATACTCTTTTGTACTCTTGGTTAATTTTAAATTGTTCTTAATCTATAACACTTGATTTCTAATGAAGTATCGAAATGATTATTAACTATCTGCTTTTTGCAAAGAATTTCGTAGACACATGTGTTCAATACAGAAAATTTTTCTAAATTATCAGTATTATTACCAAAATAGAATACAAAATTTCCCTAAAAATGTATACATTTATTTCTTTAAAAGCACGTACAGAATACCCACATTTAATAATTAAATGAGTATTTTCGTATATCAGAACGAAAATTATGAAATAATGTCATGTTCCATAACATTTATGAATTTGTGATGTCGTTGGCTTTTTGCAAACGCTTTGAGAGAGTGTGCTCTCGATACTCTTTTAAACACTTGGAAAACTATTTTATCTTTGTTGTTGATATATGCCAATGGATTCTCGATACTTTTTCTCTTGGTTTATCTTCAGCTTATGAGTTATTTAAATACTTAAAAATATATTTGTAGATCATTTATGTTGACACTTGTGATAGATTTCCTGGATGTGTTTTTGAAAAATGTATTTATTTAATTCACATGAATGAAACTAATGTTTTCTTAAAATTTTATTATTCAGAGTATTAGTCTGTAGGGTTTATATTTATTTTTAACTAACATTTATTTTAAGTTTAAACTATCTTTCCTGTCAAGCCTTACTTTCCCCTGGAATTGCCAATGCCAGAGTATGTAAATTTTAGTAGAACGCGCAAGGATTCAAATTGTCAGCGGAAGTAATCTGAGTTAAATAAAAGGGAACGAGTTCGAAAGTGTGCTTTCTTGCTTCACGAGCGTGGGGGTGGCTAGCTAGAAATTGAAGAACCACGCGTTTCGGCCTGTGTGCTTGCCTCGGCAGATTGTTAATCTTTCAACGTAATATTCAGAAGTATGCTGAATTATCAGCGGTATCTTAGAACGCGGTGAGGTTAGTTACGTTTAGAGAGCCTCGTAGTTAGTCACTTGTTACTATTCTTTTTTTTAGTTCCTTATCTTTATTTTACCGCCGGGTCGGAGTAGTTTGTGAGCGTCAAGAGCACGCAATTGTAATTTCTAAAGTTGAATAAAAAGGGATTTAAGCCCTTCTCAAGACTTTGTCTACTTTCCAGTTCTCAGCAGTCACCACTATTCTTGCGTGCAGGTTGGAAGCGCGCAACATTAGATTGGCGCCGAATTTCTTGTCGAACTGAAATGGGGCTAGCAGAAAAATCATGGGGCTAGCAGAGAACCACGATATAGCTGCCCAAACCATAACAGAACCCCCGCCATGTTTCAATCTTGGCAACAAGCAGTCTGTATTATAGGCTTGAGATGGCGTTCTCCAGACGTAAACTCGGTCAGAAGTGGGAAACAATGTGAAAGAAGACTCGTCAGACCATATTACTCGTTTCCACTGCTCCATAGTCCAGGCTTTATGACTTAAACACCACCTTTTCCTGTTACGGGCATTAGCATCACTGATGAGTGGCTTCTCAATTGCAGCACGGCCAGCAATTCCCTGTTTATGAAGCTCCCTTCTAATTGTTTTGGGTACTCAAAACTTTGTGTCCCTCCTGCCCCACATCACACACCTTGCTCCTCTTTCCTCGGAAGTAAAAATCCCCCCTTCTAAAATTCCCCCCCTCTCCCATCCTACCAATGCAACTCTTCGTCCTTCTCATTTTACACCAACTCCAGCTCCCCTTTCTTCCGTCCCCCCTTTTCTTCCGTCTAATTTCTCTGCTTTACTCTCCTCACCTCATAACCTCCCCAACCTCTACGCCCCACCCACTCTCTCTCGAACCCTTCCCAACTATTCAATCTACCCTCCTAATTACTCATCCCTCTCAATTCCCTATCTTTCCCCCTCTCTAATTCACCAATCGACACTTCCCCCCTTTCCATTTTAACCCCCATCTTCGCCTTCCAGCCTCCAACCGTGCCCTCTCCTTCAAGTCTGGCTTCCTCTCCTCCTCCCTCCTTCAGACTTTCACTCGTCACAAAAAACCCTTTCCCCCCCTATAGTCATCCTCACCCCCAATGCCCCTTTCTATTCCATCTACTCATTATTCTTGTCCTCCACAGGCTCATCTCCCACCTGGATCTAACGTCCCAGCGACGAGTCGTTCCCACCCATACCAAAAACACCCCTTATGCTACCTAGCTCACTCCCCCTATCCTTGTCTCAAAACCCTCCACGTCTTTTTTTATCCCCCTGCTCTTCTACCCCCCCCTCACACGCAATCCTTTGCCACACAATTAGTACTATCCCTCTTGCCTAGGCCTCCAACCCCCCCCTCAACCATCTTTCTTCCCCTCCCCATCTTCCTTATTCTCCCTAGTTCCACCCCTTCATACATTACTCCACTCCACCATTCTTCTACCTCCTTGCTTCCTCTCCTCCCTCCTTCCCCCTCCCCTCACTCCCTCGATTCAGTCACATTCCCCGCCTATACCCCCCCGGTTTTTCCATCCTCTGCATACTGCCAGCAAACTCTATACCTCACCTACTTCAAACCGCCTCTGTCCCTCCTCTCTTTTACCAGCCGCTTCTTCCCCTCCTTACATTCCATTATTTCTACCTTCTTTTTCACACTTCTACTTACTCGCCACTCGTCTCCGATAGTAAACAGAACACTCTTGCCTTCTTCTTCTTCTTCCGACTTTGTCCTTTTCCTCATCTCTCGCCTTTCTCCTACTCCCCTCCTCCCCTTGCCCCCACGACATTTTACTCCTCTCATTCCTCCTCACCCTCTCCGCTTGTATTCCCCCTTCCTTGCTCGTTACCACTCCCTCCCTCCCCCTTTTATTTTCCCCCGACATGTCACCAGCGCATTTTTACTTTCTCTACTCCAGGACTATATATTTAATGTTATTTTCTCTCACCCCGCTTTCTCACCCCCTACTCCCTCTTCCCTTCCCTCTTTTCTTCTTATCCAAAGGTCGGTAACACACATTCATTTCAGCAGTAACTTTTGCAGCTGTGGTCTTCTTATTTTTCGTCACAATTGCCCTTAATGATCGTCTGTCACGATCACTCAGGACACACTTTCGTCCGCGCTGTGATTTAGCAGATGATGTTTTTCCGCTTTTCAAATATGCGGAATAAATCTTCGATACAGTACCTCTTGAAACACTAAACACCTCGGCTACCTTGCTTACGGAAGCACCTACCATACGTGCTCCAACAATTTGCCCACGTTCGAAGTCTGTTAACTCTGACATAATGCAATGACAACCTCACATAACAGTACTCCGACAACAACTGAACTGTTTAGCACATTTACGAAGTTGTATAGGTGGCGTCAGTAGCAAAAAATGCCAGCGCCACCTACATATTTCATTAAAATCAATCTTTCTTTTCAAACGTGCATTTCACAAGGTGTTTCCATATTTTGTC